TTTCCCTTTCCCCCCCGGGGGGGGCTCCCCAAGCTAGGAATTTTTCTCTTTCCCCCGCCGTGACAGCTTCCCAAGCTATGGAATTTTCACTTTTCCCTCCCTTGGAGGCTCTCCAAGCTGCGGAATTTCAAATAGCTAGACAACGACGCCTAGATAGTCCCCAAATCCCGTGTTCTTTGAATGTGTTTCCATGTTTTTGCAATGGTTTCCTTCAAAGCACGGTACTTTACACTTTTGTCGCCATAAAACCGGTCGAAAACATCATGTTCGACAATGCTTCCAATTCCCTCATCTCCCCAACCGTTGAAAATACCGCTATTTACAGTGTTTTCTTCAATTTTTCCATGTTCCAATGCCGGTAGCCAACTCCAACATATATATATATATATAAGAAATCCTTCCAAAACATTGTTTTGACAGTGTTTTTCCAATGTTTCCAGTCAAACAGACGGTAATTTACACGTTTTTTGCCATAAAGGCAGTAAATCCTTCCAAAACATTGCTTTTGACAGGGTTTTTGTAATGTTTCCAGTCAAGCATACGGTAATTTACACGTTTTTTGCTATAACGTCAGTCCAAAACACTTGTTTTTGCAGTGTTTTCAATGCTCTGGCATCCAAAACCCTGCAAAATCTTGCTATGTACAATGTTTTTTTCATTTTTGGCCGTTTTTCCATTGCCGGAAAGCTACCAAAATGACCCAAAATTCCATTTCAATACCCTCTTGCGCTCAGACACCCAAAAATCCTCGAAAAATGTCGAAAACACCACCGTATTCTGGTCTCGGTGCGAAACCGTTTTTGGCCCCCCCCCCCACCTAAAGCTGATATAGCGACTGCTATATTAACAAATGTCATTGAGCATTTAGTGTTGCTGTTGCCCCCCAATAAGCACGCCTTCACCGCCAAAGCGGTGTGGGCGGATTTGTGGCAAAGAAGACTTGAGTGCTTTGCGTGCTTCGTGTGGATGGTGTAAAGAAATTGACACCTCAGTGCGTCATTGCACAAGTCATCCTGAACCATAACAGCCTAAAGTCCTAAACCTTTGAGCCTAAACATCTTAAACTCCAATCCCTAAACCCTTAAAACTCTGGAACAGTAAAGGAAACGCCTTAAGACTTAAAAGCCAAAGCCCTAAAACCATAATTCCTAAGCCCTAGAACCTTGGAAACCAAAAGTGATGATAGGCCAAATGAGGTGTTTAGGTGTAATTGCACATACATATGACATATACATATATATATAATTAGAATTCATTATATATATAATTATATAATCAGATATATTAATATGTATATGAATTTTACACACAACGTACTGTACATAAATCAACATATATGTTTCTTGCATTTTTTAACGATGATTTGTTTATTTGCATTTATGATGCACTATGTATTTTCCAGGTGACTCCAGGAACTTCCGCACAGGATTTGGCTTTATCTCCCGGGACGATCTGCCAAGCACTTCCGGACGTGGAGACGTCTTTCTCCATTTTTCGGATTTGGTGTCTCGCCGCAAATTTGGGTCTCAAGGCAGACAAATGAGAGTGAAAATAAGGCATGGTCAGAAAATAGCAAGATGATAAACCCTAGGATTTGGGGGTATGCTATATTTTCAGACAAAGCCAAACCCAAACATATCAAACCAACGATAGTGTTTGAAAAGTGTTCCGACTAGCTGACATTGACACACTCACATGGTCAGTGGGAGTTTATCATCCATTTGGACAGGGTTTATCCTGAGATCACTGAGGAAGGCCCCATGTTCAATAGTTGTTTGAAGTTTATTGCGATAGCATGACATTCGTCCGATTCCGTACTGACAAGACGTGTACACCGTACGCATTTTTCTCCTGCACTCCGAAAATCCATTCTGTCTATGCCAGGCGGTATCATTTGACAAACATTACCTAATGCAAACTGTCAGCCCTGTCAACGGGCCAAGGAGGCTGGCGTAACAAGTGGTGATCTTGCAGTGGGCATGCGTATGAAGTTTAAATGGGAGGCCGAGGAGTGCTGTGAATCGCACATAGAGATGCTGTTTTTCTTTGCAAAGCGACGATGATAACCAGCTGCAAATCACATGCCTCGAATCCTTAGTTGCAGTATGGTTCGATTTCTCTTGTAAAAGGACCAAAGTCTTCAAAGTGTGCCACGAAGTTTGCATGTAAAAAGGCATAGTTTGAGACTTTGCAGATGCCAGCCCCGCAATCCGAAGGCCTCTCGTGATTCGCGCGGACCTGGCGGCCGCGCTCGCATGGTTTCCTTTGAGGACCACAGTTCCTTGGCAGCGTCAAGCTGTGAGTGATAGCCAGTGATAGAATGAGTATCTGCCCTGCTTGATGACATACAGGAAGAAAGATAAGTAAGGGAGGGAAGACCTGCAATAAACAAGTTCTTGATTTGATGCATTTCATGTCCAGTCTTTTTGAAGCCAATGCAGACCCTTTTACATCACATTGTTGAAACAAGACAACATGTTCTATCGGACATGTGGCGGTGCAGTACCCGTCCACGATCAACGTCAAGTTCCATCTTTCAAGGGCGACCGGTGCACGACAGCAGAATGGTTCGCAGATTTTTCCAGTTGTCATTAGCTGAGAGCATTAGCTGATATACGAGCATGTCCTAGCACATCTAAAGGTCTTTGTACCCTCAAGATAGCAAAATGATACAACATCTTTTTGCCCTCAACAAAAATGATTATTTTGAGAATATTTTGAGAGGGGTGATGATGAACCACTGGATCTTATGGATCTTGGGGTTTTCGCATGTTTTCGCCGAATTCTCAGACAAAGCAATTGGCCCTGACCGAGGCTCCCCAGCATCTGTGACAACGCCTCCGCGCCGTGCTGCTCGCACGGGCCGTGTACCTTGATATCCTATGGCTGGATGGAGCAGTTTGGCACCTGTTGTGACACTAGCAGTCACTAGCATCAAGTGAAATTCATTTTCATAGCCAGTCATTGATCTTTGGGACAGAATAAGATATTTCGGGGATGCCCGCTTCTGTGGACGCCACAGCGATGCCTTCGCTTCTAGGGAAGACCATTTGGAAGATCGGGATAGTTTCCTATGAATTTACGACGCGGGCATGGTCGGAGAATGTGGAGGAGTGTCAGATGCCCAGGTGTATCGCAAGGATCTTTTCCTGGCTGTGCAGCAGCAGTTGCAAACTGCCGGGGAATATGAAGAGCGCAGGCTGTTGAAACGCAGAGTTGACAGCACTGTCAACTTGTGTCTGCAACAAAGATGCGTCTCAAAATTCGAGGATCCAACTCGAATCATTCTGGCGCTCAAGACTTTGTGGACATGTTTTTGTTTCTGCCAATTGGATGTGTGGTTGTGGACATTCTTGCCAACCACCAGCTTCCTGCAGGCCATTTGGCACACGCTCACTTCTTGGTCCCTTGCCTTCGAAGATCGTGTTCCCTTTTACCATCCAGCTGCCACAGTGGTATTGGGACGCTGAAGATGAGCGTGCCTTGGCAGTAAGATCATTCTGAATGTTGTTTCATTGCTTTATTATGCAATATATTTATCTTCATTTGTTATATTTGTATATATTTGTTATGTTGTTTTCTTTACGCCTTTACGCTTTGTCTGAGATGTAAATTTCCATTGGCATTTTTTGCCCATTTTGGGATTCCCATTGTGGGATGATCGCAGCACATCACCACATCCCATGACCTGAGGTGCTTTAGCGGAAGCCAATGACGCCCAGCGAGTCCAGATGATGGAAGCACGTTTGGACACTTGGCGAGTTGCATAAGCCCGCCCAGTTCTCCAGTTGTGGCCAGTCTAATGGGGAAAAGGATCGAAAAGGATGTTAAACTGTTATATAAATATATAAATCATGAATTTTGGTGATACCCTATTTTCGGACAAAGCAAGAAGTGTCAACCACAGATAGTTACTTCATCGTACATGTAGCAGGTGGAACAGCAACAAACCCAGTCTTTTCTAGTACGCTTATCAAGGTAAGGTCCAGATGTCACTGCAAGTTTTCCGACACTTCAGATTTTAGCAGCCAACCATACCCAACCATACCCAACCAGCAATCACCTACCCTCTGGTAATTTAACATAGCTATGGAAAATTACCATTTTTGATGGGAAAATCCACTATAAATCACCATTTTCAATAGCTATGTTAGTTTACCGGAGGGTAAATCACCCAGGATCTTGAGAACGGGGCGGATCTCAATAACGGCGATACCTTTGGCGAAGACTGGGCGCTCCAGTCTTGGAGCTATCAGGATGCGGTGGCAGCGAACCAGCGCCTGGCCAGTAGCTCCTATCACCCGGTGCAGATGCAATGGACGCGAGATGAAGGCAACTTGACACCAAGAAACCGGAGAGATTCGATTTTGCCTATCGATTTCTTCGAAATTCAACCTTTAAAATCCTTTAAAAACATCTTCCTGCCTAAAACCTGTGTTCTGGTGGCTTCTTCGCGCGGGGTGTCTTCGGTGTCTTCAATAAACTCATGAACTCAATCATCAAGAAGTCCAGTCCATGAATATAATGTATATATATATATGTATATTATATATATATATATTAAATATGTGACATCAGTGCGGAGGTTTATAAACAAGAGCTGTTTTGAGGTCCTGATCGCCTGAGGTCTGGCTCAGTTTTTTCAGCCTTTGGTCCTTCAGTGAGGATCCAGTTTCTGCTGCGGCGGATCTCGGTCACCAGCTGTGCACAAAGGAAAAGTTGTTGCAGCCAAATTGATAGATCTGTGCATTTTTTTATGGTTAAATGGTTTTGGTATATTTTGCAACCACTGTGCCACTGTGCTGAGCACTTGAAAATTGCTGAATGTTCCTTTGTTGCATGTTACTTCCATTGTGCTCTTTCGTATATGTAGTATATCAGTATATCTCTCCTTTCCGGTCCTAGGCGCGCAGGGTACAAAGCCTGAATGCGCAAAGAATTCAGACCGTGATGAGTTGTGCATATTGCATGACATGACTCAGATTCAGTACTGACAGCGGCCTCACAGCCTGGGATATCCTAGCGGTCCAAATCATTCCAAATCCATACTATAGTGAACACGTGAAAAAGACGACACGCTTTTGGCACATTTTGCATTTGCCTAATTTGCTTCATGCCAGTACTGGGTCGAGTATAGTTTCGTTCGCGGTTGCTGCAAGGGAATCCTTGTGGCTGAACCAATAGTTCGCCATGGTGCTTGAAAGTGTCATGGGCCCTTTGCCCCCAATAGCAATGCCTTCACCACCGAATCCGAGAAAATCCCAGAGCGTGTTTTCGATCGACCTTTCCCGGGCACAATGACATGCACATCTGTTTTTTTTCAAGTTATGAAGCCCCCCAAAATTCGAATGGACGGTTGATGGGTGGTTGAATACTGAGGAAAAAATCATAAAACATCATAAAACAACAAGAATTCACTAAGAATTCACTAAGAATTCAACAAGTCTTGTACATAATATAGGCCCATTGGTAGCCTACTTTGGGTCACCATTCACCATCGCCATATGGACACTCTGGAGAGGCTGGAGGACAAGGAAAACTCACATGGTGTTGCCAGGCTGGGCCCCTGGGCAGGAGATCAAAATTGGTCCCTACAGGTGTCAGCAAAGTCAGCAAAATCGAAAGCAGATGCACTTCGGATCTTTCACTGATCAATTCACAAACTTGGTCTTGCGTGCATCCCATGGGTGAATTCACATGGGTGTTGGTGTTTTTCCCATGTTTTTCAGTTTTTCCCTTGGCGTTTGTAGAGATACGAGCACTTCACAATCATGTCAATCGTTGAGATTTGAAGTTCGCATATGCTAGCCACAGCTTGACAGAATGACAGATGAATCAGATGAATCAGATGAATCAGATGAAGGAAGTTACACCATGTTGGAGACTTTCCAGTTTCCTCAGTAAACACGAACACAGACAACACAGACACCCACCCGAGGGCTCAAATGGCAGGCCCACAGCAGCCATTGGTGGCACCAAGGCGCCTGTGTTCCATCTGAGATGCTGGCGGCAACTAGGGCAAGTAGGGCCCTGTGGGAGCCAAAAAGCGCATAACATGCCTAGGTGATGAAAGTTGTACATGTTTAAATTACAATAAATTATATATATATTTGAGTTCATTTCATGCAGATGTATTTGCACACAATATGCATGCGATCGCATTAGTTTTCCCTTTAATGTTAGGCATCCACGCGCATTTACATGAACGAGTATGATACATAACGTCACATTACACTGCCCATACATTTCACTACATCATTGCACTCCGTCGCATCAATCCATGCAAACAGCAATCTGTGCCTACATAGATTGGGTACATCGAATACGCATTGATACATCGACGAATCGATCGACGGAAACATAGTAAAGCAGGCTCATTGGCAGCATCCATCAGCAGTGTGAAAGACTTCGAAGAACAAAAGGTGTCGAACTCCCACAGGGCAATGAGAAACTGACCTCCAAGCCATAGCGCACTTTGAAGACTCTGTTTTCGAAAGTAAAACACCAACGATAAGATTGTTCTTAGATTGTTATATATTGTTGTTTTTTTTTTTTAAGAATACTTTTATTCGGTCTTTATTAGATTGTTTTGCTGTTGTACCAGCACGTAGATCGTTGATGATCATTACATATTATTGCATATTATTGCTTTTGAGCCCCTGGAAACTCCGAGATGGACAAGCAGCTGTGGCCAAGAGCCGGACAAAGTTCCAAAAACAGAGAGGATCAGATTCTGCGATTGCTAGGACTTGCAATGCAATCCCGAAAACTCGGGGTAGCTTTGGAACTGGGAGCTGCGACAATGTCGGACAAAGGAGAGCAAGCAGATGGAAGCAGCGGGCCACTGAAACGTTGTGGAAATGCAGAGAACCAACCATTTCAACCCTACCACCTGGAAAGGGCAAGCTGAAGATAGCTCGAGTCTATAGGGCCATGAGAGGGAACCTGATTTTGTTTGTATTTGTTATTGCGATTTATTGCTATTCATTGCTATTTGTTGCTCCATATTTCCTTGCTCTGAGTGGCACAGCCCCCCTTCCCATCTTCTCTGCCTTGGACGCCGTTGCTAACAGCATTTAGAAGTCGTAGATGCCTTTGGACGCCTCCATTCGCCTCCTGAGTCGCTATGATGGCAGGCCGCTCGATATCTACAGGATATATTGGTGGGATTTGATGTTGCTTGTGGCCGCAAGATCTTGAAGTCCATGGTGACATAGTGAGATGAACCTTGTGAACCTGTCTTTGATTTCTTCTTCTCATGCTTCTACTCATTCTGCTTGAGAACAATAACATTATCTTCAAATCTTTGGCTTTGAAGGTTGTTTGGCTTCTTTGTCTTGAATGGCCCTTGAATGGCTTGGGTAATCCATAGTACTTACTTCAAAGCGTGCCGCAGGTGTTGGTGGTTGCGCAGGGGTCTGTTGCTTGGCGAAGGGGCGCGATTTGGTGTTTTTTTTTTGTCACCTAGATATTTTATTAATTTTAAGAATCCCCTGCCCCCTTATTCTATATCCAAATACCCCAAGTAGAAACCCTGGTTTGGCATTAGATCTATTCATTCTTGGAATACAAGAGTTGAGATGAATTGAGAAGAGCTGAGATGAGCTCAGAAATGTCAAGAGAGAGGGAGAGAGGTGAATCAACGAAAGAAATGTCAAGAGTTTGTTTTGCCTTATAGGTTTCAGTTTTGGAAACTTCCGCCCCTGGCTTGCCGGGGCACTACTTGTATTTGGGGATGGGGGATGGGATGATTTGTCCTACAAAAGTTGAAGAGCTTGAATGGTCAAGGGTTGAGAATGCGCAAATTCGACGTTTCGGACACTGCAGGGGTGGAACTCAATGGGTTTGTCAATAGGGCAACACAGGTTAGTTCAGACATTACCAGATAGGCCTTGTTCAGTGAAATCCAAATGCGAACAAGGCATCAGCAGTTGTGTTTCACCAGGCTATGAAGTCGATGAAGAAGCTGTCAAAGTCGAAGAGCGTTTGGTGTCACCCTCAGCAAAGGCATGTGAGATTTTAGGTATTAAGCTACGCAAGCATTCGATGGTTTGACACTACAAGTGGACAATGTTTGTGGGCCCAGGGATCATGAGATTTTCGACGAATTTGACCATCCACGATGTTTTTTTTGAATTTGGTGGCTACTGGCTCCCTTTCCGCAGGAATGTCTGACCCCAAACAATACTTGCATGTAGAATGAGGCCTTCGTTGGAGCAGGTGTGGGAACGCCGAACACTGAGAGTTGCCTGTAGTTCTTGTGAATCAGACATTTGAAGAATTTCGAGTGGCTCTGGAGGGAATCAGAAGCATTTTCTGGCAGGAAATGGCAGCTATCAGCAGGTTTCCAACATGGAAATGGTTGGTAAAGGGTGGCGCTGGCATTGTGATTAAGTTGACCGACAGTGATGATTGGGTTTTGCGGAGGGTTGTGGTTTGGCTTGGAAATCGACAATTTCGAGCACAGCGAAAAACGGTTTCTTTTTGGCTCTTGAAATAAATATTGAGCTGCAAAACAGCATTCAGATACTTTGTTTGAGTAGGACAATCAACCCCAGATAGACTTCAAATTCCATAAAATTCCCACATCTCTTCATCCCGGCTGTGGGTCAAACCGAAGCTAGCACTTTTAGAGACTTGGCAGGCGCGGTGATTTTGAGAAGGAGCAAGTTGTTGTCGCCACAGGCGCAGCTGAAAAGTTGCTGCTTCCATGTTGCCAGCTTATGTTTGAATGAAAAAACATGAACAACTGCGTATTCCTGAAAACCGG